GTGAAAGCCCCCTCCCCAGTGCCATGTGGCCTTGGCAAGTGAGCACTTACCCGAGGGAGAGCACCATACCCGGGATTGGGCAGGGAGCGGGATGGGCGGTGGGTGGGCCCGAGATCACTTAGCCGTTCAGTTGTAAAGAACCTTAGACTCGTTCTCATTTTACACCTGTGAGTCCCTGGTGTGTGTGTGTGTGTGTGTGTGTGTGTGTGTGTGTGTGTGTAAAATGGCTTGTCCAGGCTATGTAGCAGCAAAAGTTGCTGAAATTGGACTGTTCTGTCCTGGTTCCCAGTTCAGAGCACTTGCCAGCATTTTCGAATGCTTGGAATTAGAGGGAAAGGCATGTCAGGTATCCAGCACGTGCCAGACACCTCCGGACGGCGGCTGTCAGCCACTGTGATTCCTGTCCCTGCGACGCCAACGCCGGGATCCACCCTCTTCCCATAAACCGGGGAGCTTGACTCCACCCTCCATCTCCTTCTCAGCCACCACCCGCCAGGTCTGCAGCAGTGACCTCTCCTCACCTGTCGGGGCCAGCACCTGGGGAGGCATTTGCATTCCTGGCATTCCTCTGCCTCTGGGGGCCAAAAGGGGTGTGAGTGGCGGCGGGGGCGGTGTGGGCAGCGCGTGGGTGAGAGGGGAATGCTACCTGAGAAGAAGGTCTGCTAGTCCGTCCCGCTCTGACAGCCGCTGCTCCCCTTTGGGGGTGAGAGAGTCCTCTGCCCGGTGTCCCGGCTGCGGAGGCCCGCGAGAACTTCCATGAGCTGTCTCTGCGAGGGGGATGGCATTCGTATCCGTGTCCTCGCCCTGCAAATGTGTGTACACATGGTCCCCACCTCATGCGGGGTCCGGAGGGCCACTACCCAGGTCATGTGAGTCGGGGAGCTGGCGTGCACACCCAGATCAGGCTGCCAGCAGCAGGGGCACCCTGCCGAACCCCCCAGGGCTCAAAGACCGGGGCCCCTCCCGGGGGTAGAAGAGAGCTCGAGGGTGAAGAGTAACTGGTCGCCTGGAGTCGGAGGGCACTTGGTCACAGTGACCCGGTGTGACCCTTGGCCGCCACTTGTCCGAAAGGAAGTCTGATTGGGAGGTCTCTGCCTGGAGCCAGATGTGTGTCTGTGCAGAAGGTCACTGCGGGATTGCCAGGTGACCCCTTGGGAAGGTGCTTCACCTCCACTTAGGCTGGCCAGGAGTGACCGGCCAAGGCGAGGGTCAGAGCAGCCGCAGAACTCCTGTCACTGGGTTGCAGAGGGGAGGGGAGAAGAGAGTGGGCTCTGGGGACTGCCTGCCCGCCGGTCCTTTCCCCTCCCCTTCCCCCAACCTCTTCGCATTTGTTTCCTTTCAGAAGCTGGACTGGGGCTCTCAGACAGGGCAACAAAAGCAACTTTCCTCCAAGCCACTGCCACCTGTTGGGTTTTCACACATTGGGGGTGAGTGGGGGGAGGGGGCCGTTGCTCCTTTCCCAGTGTCTGCGCTGTGCCCCCTCTGCCCCCCCAGGGCCTGGGATTCTCTGTGCTGCCCGAAGTGACAGGGCTCCGGAGCCGGAGGGGGTGGGGGGCCTGCGGCAGCTGGAAGGGGAATTGAGTGGGAAGGGGCCGGTGCTGGCAGCCGGGAGAGAGTTTGATGGATTACTCTGCAGGCCGAGAGGTTTCTCCCTAATCCCCCTTTGTGTCCCGGCCTGCAGCCCCCTCGCTCTCTCTGACAAGCTGCTAAGCAGAAGGCTTCCAGTCCGAGCGAAGAAAAGGCAGCGCAGCAGGGCCATCTCCAAATCCCTGGCCCCTAGGCCCTGGGGGAGGCCGGAGCTGGGGAGCCAGTCTGGGCTAGAGGTGGGGCCCTCCTCCCCTCCCTCCAGCCCTCCCCCTCCTCAGGCCCGGGCTCTTTCTGCAGGTCACTGCCTTTTTTGTAGGGTGGGGTGGAGGAGAGCGGACCCACCCTTCCTGCGAAGTTTGAGCCCGAGAATCCAAGACCGAATGCGGGTATGAAGGCACGCCCCAGGCGCTGTGTCCTGTGTGCCGCCCCTCCCCCAGCTGCCCAGGTAGCAATTCCCAGAGCCCCCGGCCCAGCCCGGGGCTGTAGTGAGAGCTGGCGCCTCAAAGGATGCTCATTTGCAGGGCCCCTGGCTGGCCAGCACGGCCTCTTTCTGGGGCGGCACTGGGCCCCAGGAGGGCAGAGCTCATTTCGGGAGTGTGCTAGGTTTTACCAGTAAAGTCCAAGGACATTGGTCCCCTGAGGCTGAGGCAAGGGGTTGGGTCATGGGGATGCAGGGCTGGTGAACGCCCCAGTCCTCTTCCGTGCCCCCAACCTAGAGGGCTGAGAGAACTGGGAGAGCTCAGTTTGGAATGAGATCCTAGGATCCAGTTCGGTGTGGAGGAATGGGGGTCCCCCCCTTCCTGCGTGGGGGAGACTGGCCAGGAGTGGCCCCACCCCCTTTCGGCAGCCGAGTCATTATTCCTGGAGGGAGCCCAGCCCACCCCGTTTCCTTCTCCACGGGAGGGGCTGCCTAGGGGCTGTGAGGGGTAGAGGAGCGTGTGAGAAAGCCGGGCGGCTTTATGAGTGTGGCGGGAGGACACAGGGTCGCCGAGCTGCTGGGGTCAGGGTGGATGGGGGCCGAGCTGTTTGATGTGCCTGGGCGGGTGGGGAACGCTGGTTTCTGCATAAAGAGCCCATAGAATTGCGGCCTGACACTGGCCCGCGGCGGGCTGCGGCCCCGGCTCCTCTGGCCTCTGTCCGTCAGCGCAGGGAATCTGCTCCCCCAGCCCCACCTAGGGCGCAAGGGGGGGCAGGAGCCCCTTTGAAAGCCCTCAAAGGCCTCTTTATGCATCCCTCTGACCCTCCCTTCCCGCAGGGAGCCACCAGAAGTGGGCTCTCGCCTTTCCTCCCACCGCCTTTACTCGGTCTTTTGAATTTTGGCGAAAGTTCAGACCAAGTTTGTTCTCGATGCTCAGTTTCATTTCCCCATGCTCGCCTGTGGCCGAACCCAGCGTGGGGCTTCCTGCCCAGTTTGGGTCCCCTCACCACGTTTGAAACTTCCGGAGTTGCCCCTTCTGGGGGTCTGGCCAGGGTTTCCCTGGTGGGGGTGGGGGTGGAGGGGCCCTTCGGTCTTTCCTATCTCTCCCACTGCCCAGCCCCGACCCCGACACTGCTTTCTGCCGAGGCTTCTTTGGGGAAACGTTTCCCAGGTGCTAGGGAGCTAGGAAGGTTGCCCATAGGGCTGCTGCTCCGGGGCTAGGCTCACTGTCCAGGCCAGCGGGCTTGCGTTCTGCTCCCCCAGGGATGAGGAAAGATGGCCTGGGGCAGAGCTCCACGGAGGTTCCTGGAGGTCTTGGGCTTCTCCCAGCCTTCTTGCTGTCAAGTCATTGGAGGACAGATACCTAGAACTTGAGAGGGACTCATCCTCCCCGAAGGCTGCTGCTCCTTTCTGGAGGCCAGGCCACAATCCCCTCTCTGTACCCCGCTGCTCTCCTCTTCCTGCTCCCTCCCTACCAGGTGCGTCTCCGGAGGAGGCCGGCTCTAGGGCCGTTTGCCAGATGGGCCCAGTGCTCCAGGAGCAGTGGGACAGGCAGGGAGGGTACTGGGGAGAATTGAGTTTGGTCTCCGTGCCTGCACTCCTGAGGAAGACAGGGGGTGCCCCAAATGGGGGCTGACAGTCATCGGTCACTTAGAAGCTTTGCTGGGCAGCGTGCCCTCGGGCTGCAGGAGGGAGTGGTGGCCACGAAAGTGGGAAAGTGGCAGGGAACCACTTGCCTCCCCACCGCTGTGAACCTGGGCTTCTGTGCTCCCGCCCTGGAGGGACGGCAGGTAGCCAGCTAGCACTGAGGGAGTCCTTTGTGGTGCCCTCCACCCTGAGGACCCTGGAGTGGGGATGCGTGGGGTGAGACTGGGGCTCTGGGGAACGTCCGGGAGGGGATCTTTGGAAGGGAGAATAGTCTTATGGGCTTGGAATTCCTTAGGCAGTTCTGGGCTGGAAAGAATCAACTCTAGTCTAGGTGGGGCAAGAGTGCTCTGGACCTTGGGGCACAGTTGAAGTCAAAAGATCGAGGATGGGCTTCGCAACCTAAGAACGGAGAGGCTTTGAGCCGGCCCACCTCCTACCCAATTCCTTTCAATGAATTCTTCACCTGCCCTTCCCCCCCCACCGCCCATCCGGACTGAAGGAGGATGAAGGGAAACTCCTCTCTTCACCCTCTTTCCTCTTTTTGTCTTTCTCTCTTGTGGGCTAAGAAGGGTGTCCTGCGTCTTCCAGGGAGCAAGGGGCTGGCTTAGGGAGGGAAGGAGGCAGGTGGGGTGCCTGGTGTTCTGTCGCAGGGCTGCAATTTACTTGCAACCACAGGGAGCAATGAGAGCTTGGGAATGTGGGCAGGTTGTGGGTGAGTCTGGGTCTGACAGTCTGTTTGCTCAGGGAGGACCCAAAGCAGGTAAATGTCCAGGGCCTGCCCAGACTGGGGGCAGGGAGTAGAACGGGCTGGAAGCCTTTTGACCCAGAACCCCACCCTCCAGGTTGGAGAGTACAGCTCCCTATCTTGATCTGTGTGCTGGCTCCTGGCTTCCCCAGGGATGCTGCAGCAGGGGAGGGGCTTGGCTCAGAACTGCCCAGCAGGGACTGATGTGTGGCCCCCTCCCAGCCATGCCACCCCCTATTTTACACTCCTCCCTATGCCACCCCCATAGGAGTGCATGCCTCTTCCCAAAGTGGATCATCAGGGTCTAAGCAGAGCTTTGGGGAAGAGGCCACAAGTTGCCTGGCTTTCCTTTCTGGTCTACTAGGGCTTGGAAAGCAGTTATGGGAAGGACACATCTTCCCCGGATTGGCAGCCACCTGATTTCCCTGTGGCATATCTCAGAGAGCACCTATCACAGGCTTTGTAGTGCCTAGAGAGAGAGAGAACTTTGTAGTGGAGAGAGAACCAGGCCACTGGGGGCGAGGGGCCCTGGGGGCTGTGGACCCAATGCTATTCCTGGGCCTTTGTAGGGGTGAATCGGTGAGGAGGGGATCTAGACTCCCACTGGGAGTGGCATAAAGCTCTGTCCGCACCTCTTTGGGAGGAATGAATGACAAGTTAGGGGATTTTTCTCAGGAAGACCCACCTTCTCTACTCCTCTTTATGGCTGACTTGATTTTCCCTCTTTCGTGGTCAACCCTAAACAGAGCAGACCGCATTGGGTCCTGTTGTCAGGAAGCAAGAGCTGGAGGCCGATTGCCTGGGGCTGGGGGGCACAGTGTGGCGTGGCTGCCCCAATGAGATCTCTATGCCCAGGAGGCAGGCCTAGCAGGGAGGGCCGTGGGGACATCTCTGCTGAGAATGGAGCCATTTGGGGAGCAGAGAAAGGCTGCCCGGAAAGTGGTGGGGCCTTCCAGCAGCTCCCGGTCACTGGTGTCAATACAGGCTGGTGCCGTTCGGTGCCCCCGTGAGGTGGGGACCTGGGAGCAGGCCCCACTGTCCCATGACAGTTGGGCAGTACACGTGGGAACATTCCACGGAGAGACTCCAGGGAGAGGTTTGCAAGCCAAAGTTCCTCCAGGGGTGCCCTCTTTAAGTGGTTTCAATGACAGGTTAAAACTCAACCCAACAAACCGCAGCCTCCCCACCCTCCCCACCCCCTTGTCCTCGTTCTTGGGGGCCAGGATTATGATGCAACGTGGCTTGTGGCCAGCAGCTCGGGATAGGAAGTGCTGCTCCTAACAGAGGGGAGTTGACCAGCCCAGCTTTGGGAAGTGGAGAGAGAAGAGCAAACACACAGGCTAGGCAGAGGGTCTCCAGAGGCACCTTGATAACAGGGCCTGGGGAACTGGGAATTCAATTGGTCTGATTTTTTTTTTTCTTTTTTCCATACCGGCAGGCAAGGGCAATGGCAAAGATAGTCCAAAACAGAGAAAAATGGACATCTGTTTGGCTCTGGAGTGTGCTGAGGTTTAAAAGTGATATTTACCTTATTAGTTATGTCAGCCTTAGGCTAATATTAACATGCATTTCCTGATTGGCAGCGGGGGTGGCACGGCCACTCCGTTGTCAGCCTGGGAGTGAACAGGATTCAGAGAACTCAGAGCAAATCCCAGAGGCCTGGTTCCCAGGATTTCACAGTCTGGGTTTGACTGTTATTGTCCTTCAGGATCTGAGGGATGAGCTATGTCCCCACCGAGGCTCCCCGCGCCCACAGGCGTGTAGTGTGGCCTGAGAAGCCGGACCTGCACGGAAGGCTGGCAGAAATGGGCTCCTGGAAGAGGCCGGGGCACTCAGTGGCAGCAAGGAGGAGAGGCCTGGGCGTCCGGAGCAGGGCCGAGCCACGGCAGCCAGGGAGCGCGTGAAGCCCGCCATGGTCCAGAGGCTGTGGGCCGGCCGCCTGCTGCGGCACCGGAAGGCCCAGCTCCTGCTGGTCAACCTGCTGACCTTCGGCCTGGAAGTGTGCCTGGCCGCTGGCATCACCTACGTGCCACCCTTGCTGCTGGAGGTGGGGGTCGAGGAGAAGTTCATGACCATGGTGCTCGGTGAGTGCAGCACAGCCTCCTTGCGTCCTGCTGCAGGTCCATGACACCCAGGAGGCAGGGTGCCTCTGCCCAAAGAGGGATAGGCGGCTGCTGGCTCAGGAAGAGCCAGTGGAGGCAGCAGGTTGGGCCCTGCTGGGTGGATGGGTGACCGTGGGCAGGGGTGGGGCAGTGGGTGCCCAGTAGGAAAAGAGCACAGGGACATTCCGTGGTCCCCTCAATATCCCAGACCCCTACACAGTGCCTGGCACGTAGCAGACACGGCTCTGCCCTTAGTTCAGCCCTTTCTATCTGTTACTCATTTAATCCTTGCAATAGCCTTTGGGGTCCCCCGCTTCATCAGTCACGGAGGCTGATGAGCAGTTGGGTCACTTAGGCAGGCTGGAGGGCTAGCTACCCATTAGGAAGATCAGGGTCTCCCAGCTGGGGCTCTTTGTTATTCCCTAGGGCCCAGGCTGGGCCCCGACTGCGGATGTGTTCTGCAAAAGCCACAGAAGGCAAGAGGTCACCGTGGGGCAGCTCCCAAGATGCTGGGCTCCGGTGGGGGGGGAAGGTCACACTGCCTGTTGAAACCCTGCCTCGTGCCCCCCACCTCTCCCTCGGCCCCTGTGCTCCAGGCTCACTTACCGGTTGTTCCGTGTATCATTGTGCCCATCTGAGGATGCAGTGTTAGTGGTCCTGGCTGCGAGGGCTAACCTAGAGTCTGCGTGACATACCCCATACCATGTCGAGCAAAGAAGTGGCCCTGCGTGTGGTGGTCATTTCCGTCCTCCTCCAGGAGCTCGGTCTCCCTTCCCCACCACTCCCGAGGGCCCCAGCCTGTGGCTCATACGACGTGTCCTTCCTGCAGGCATTGGTCCAGTGCTGGGCCTCATCTCGGTCCCACTCCTAGGCTCGGCCAGTGACCACTGGCGTGGACGCTACGGTCGCCGGAGGCCCTTCATATGGGCCCTGTCCCTGGGCGTCCTCCTGAGCCTCTTCCTCATCCCGAGGGCCGGCTGGCTGGCGGGGCTGCTGTGCCCGGACGCCAGGCCCCTGGAGCTGGCCCTGCTGATCCTGGGCGTGGGGCTGCTGGACTTCTGCGGCCAGGTGTGCTTCACCCCGCTGGAGGCCCTGCTCTCCGACCTCTTCCGAGACCCAGACCACTGTCGCCAGGCCTTCTCCGTCTACGCCTTCATGATCAGCCTTGGGGGCTGCCTGGGCTACCTCCTGCCCGCGATCGACTGGGACGCCAGCGCCCTGGCCCCCTACCTAGGCACCCAGGAGGAGTGCCTCTTTGGCCTGCTCACTGTCATCTTCCTCACCTGCGTGGCGGCCACGCTGTTTGTGGCCGAGGAGGCCGCGCTGGGTCCGGCTGAGCCGGCGGAAGGGCTGGCTGTCCCCTCGGGGCCGCACTGCTGCCCGTGCCACACCCGCCTGGCCTTCCGGAGCCTGGGTGCCCTGTTTCCCCGGCTGCACCAGCTCTGCTGCCGTGTGCCTCGCACCCTGCGCAGACTCTTTGTGGCCGAGCTGTGCAGCTGGATGGCTTTCATGACCTTCACGCTGTTCTACACGGACTTTGTGGGCGAGGGGCTGTACCAGGGCGTGCCCCGGGCTGAGCCGGGCACCGAGGCCCGGAGACACTATGATGAAGGTAAGTCCTCAGCAGCGGGGGGCGGGGAGGGGGCTGCTGTGAGAGACCCCCCCACCCCCAACTCCAGGGGACGGCCCGGTGTCGGGGGAGGCCTGCAGTCTGTGCAGTCTGAGCCGGCCCATCGCTGTGCATCTGGGTTCCTGATTGTTCCCGATTTCCTGGTCAGGACAACGGGCCTGTCTGTACACGAGGCTGCCACAGTGGCTTGCGGTCACAGTGCCTCAGGCCACGGAGAGTTTGCTCAGAGTCATTGCTTCCATTTGCCAGAAGAAAAGGCTCAGCTTAGTTAAGGAACAGAGTGGGCAGAGGAGTCCAGGCCGCGTCTCGGGTCCACCTGGCCCCAACTTCAGCGTGCCCTCTGCTCCCGCTGTTGACTCTCCCCCTTCCCTGGCCAGACCTTCAGCTCAGCGTTCCCGAGCTCTGTCCTGGAGCCACGGGCAGAGCTGTCTTTGGGTCCCCTCGCACCGTCTTAGAGAGCCGAGCACTAGCTGAGGCCCCGAGCAACCCTCAGGACGTGGTCCCCTGCCCTTAGCTGGAGGCTTTGACCGCACCATCTGACAACCAGCCGTGGAGGAACCTAGACTGCATGTGTGGCAGTCGGGTGGGCTGATGCCGGGGAAACGGGCCTGGCCACGGTTCTGAGCCCTCCCCAGTTTGTACCAGTCTCTTCCTGCTCGGGCCGACTTCTTCCCTCTCCCCTGCCCCCCACAACAGGGGTCCGGATGGGCAGCCTGGGGCTGTTTCTGCAGTGCGCCGTCTCCCTGCTCTTCTCTCTGGTCATGGACCGGCTGGTGCAGCGATTCGGCACCCGGGCCGTCTATCTGGCCAGTGTGGTGGCCTTCCCCGTAGCTGCCGGCACCATGTGCCTGTCCCGCAGCGTGGCCGTGGTGACCGCGTCGGCTGCCCTCACCGGCTTCACCTTCTCCGCCCTGCAGATCCTGCCCTACACGCTGGCCTCCCTCTACCACCGGGAGAAGCAGGTACTCACGCTGGCCGCTGGGTGGGGCGGGGGCGGAGGGCAGCCGGAGGAGCCCGGCCAGTGTCCGGCGGAGAGCTGGAGAGCGAGAAGTCCTTCTTTGACTGGAGAGGAAGCCGTGTAGCCCTGGGCCAGAGACGTGGGCTGCACGGAAGGAGGGTGTAGATTAGATTCTGGGAATGACTTCCTGGTGTCAGGACTATAAAGCACTTGAGTGGATAACTGCAGGAAATGCTAACTCCTTCTTTGGGGATCCAGAAGAATTGGGCTAGCGGAGGCGCTCAGTCTGGGCTGGGTTGTTCTAGGCTGAGGTGGGGTAGGGGGGACTGATCAGATGACCTCCTGGGCTCCTGGCTTCAGCTGCCCTGAGTGGTGGTGGTCTGGCCTGGGCAACGGCTCTCTTTATTCAGGGAGGGGCACTGTGATGGGCCCTGCCCCTCTTTGGTCTCCAAGAGGGAGAAGTGTCCATACTACCCCTTCTCTTTCTGGTTTATCTTCTTTTTCTGCCTAATTCTCTCTTTTCTTTTCCTGCCTCACACCTTTGCCTCTGTCCCCTGCCCCGCCCCGACAGCGGGTCTCTAAGCCCGATGCACCTGGCACGGCTCACCCGGCCACTGTAAGTTGGGGGCCTCCTTCCTGCTTGGTCCCATGCCAGCCAGCCCCTCCAGGGGCCCCGTTCTGTGGGAAGCCTCGTGACCAAAGCTGTGTGGTCACCTTTGTCCCCTTCACAGGCCTCAGGGATCTCTGCCCAGAGGGTAAGAAGTTGGGGTGTCCTGAGGGAGGAGACGCAGGCCTGCCCTCCTAGAGCTTCCAGACCATAGGGAGGAAGTTTGTCCACCGGAGGACATGAGTGAGGTAGCAGAGAAATGGTTAGCTAGGAGGGTGGTTAATTGATTAGGCAGCTGCAGGGGTGGGGCATGTGGACGGAGGGGCCAGGGTTTTGCTTGGGGTAGCCCGGTCCCTGAGGCCCCTGTCAGCACACGGATGACCTTCATTGGCCCCCATTCTGCTGCTGCCCCGGCTGGGGGCTTGGGGCTGGTGTCCAGAGGCCAGGCTTGGGCACGCGCACTCGTACTCAGGGAACATGCTCGGGCTGGTCCTCCCCTCGGACTGTGGAGTGTGTCTAGCCTTGGGGCTTCTTGAGGCTCCAGGCTCACTGGTCTTTCCGGGGGTGGCAGGCGGGGAGGACAGGTCCCGGGACGCCCACTCCAAGAAGCAGTTGATGGCACACTTGGCCACGTACGCTGTCTGTACTTGCCTTGCCTACTTCTGGCCACCCCAAGAGCTGTCTGCTTCCCTTCTGAGCTCTGCCAGGGGTCCCAGCTCCAGTGCAGCCGACTCGAGAACCCATCCACGTTAGGCGCTAGTGGGCACATAGGGGATGAATTCTGGCCCTATCCTTAAGTAGGGGGTTCTGACACACAGTGAGAAAGAAGTAAGAAGGGCTTCAACATTAGCCCAGCTAGGCTGAAGAAGTCTGGAACATTCCTCTTGTTCCTCTCTCCCTCCAGGCTGAGTCTGTTGGACCTTCCCTGTCCTGAGTCTGGGGCCATGAGCCTCACAGTACGGCCTGGGACCCCAGTGGGAGCAGAGCATCTCTCTGCGAGGTTGAGCAGTATGTCCCAAGGCAGAGTGGTGAGGGGCAGAAAGTAGGAGGGTTAACCCCCTGTGTGGGCATGTGGGCCCTCAGGGGTCCCATTTTTGGATTTTGTTCCTCTGTTCTTACACATCTCTCTTCTCACCTGTCTTCATTCTGTCTTCTCCCTCTACCTTGGGGTTCCATTCTCTTCCTGACCTGCAGTTGAAGTTTGTCTGCCCCTTACTGGTTCCAGGAGAGGCTAGAGGAGACCTAGACTTCTGGATTCAGATCTGTGCCCCCGTCCCCTGCCCTGGAAGGAGAGTCTTCATTAGACCCAGACGAAGGAGGGTCTGGCCTGCTGCACAACTGTCATTGAGGCTGGTGGCCAGGCTTCTTCCAGCCTCTGGTGTGAATGCTAGGGTCTCTTCTCAGAGCTGGGATCCTGTGCTTGGATTCCTACCTCTCCTGTTCCCCTCCTCCCCAGGTTTTCCTGCCCAAATACCGAGGAGATGCCAGAAGCAGTGTCAGTGAGGACAGCCTGATGCCCAGCTTTCCACCTGGCCCCAAGCCCGGATCGCCCTTCCCCAATGGACACGTGGGTGCTGGAGGCGGCGGCCTCCTCCCTTCTTCACCTGTGCTCTGTGGGGCCACTGCCTGCGACATCTCCACGCGGGTGGTGGTGGGCGAGCTGCCTGAGACCAGAGTCGTCCCGGGCCGGGGCATCTGCCTGGACCTTGCCATCCTGGACAGTGCCTTCCTGCTGTCGCAGGTGGCCCCGTCCCTGTTTATGGGCTCCATTGTTCAGCTCAGCCAGTCTGTCACTGCCTACATGGTGTCAGCTGCGGGCCTTGGTTTTGTGGCCATTTATTTTGCTACACAGGTGGTATTTGACAAGAGCGATTTGACCAAATACTCGGTGTAGAGTCCCTGTGACCCACTGAGGGTCACCACTGAGGACCCTGCCTCCCTGGGTCCCAACCCCTCCCCCACTCCCCACAGTGGATCCAGGTGGCCCCCTGGGGGGGCCTTCCAGTTTATCCCTGCCAAAGTGGTGTGGCTCTCTGCTGCCACCCCGTGGCGGTAAGGTGCAGAGCTGCACAGGTAGGGGACTGGGGCTTCTCTTTCTCTCTCTCTCTCTCTCTCTCTCTCTCTCTCCAGTCTTCCGGGCTGGCTGACAGTTGGTCCAAACGGGCTTCAGTCTGGATTTCTTCAGGGAGGCCAGAAGGGTAGGGCATTTCCTTAGCTCCGTGCACTGGAATGCGGGACTCTGCAGGGAGATGACCCAGGCAGGGTTAACTGCTAGTGTCCTGGTCAAGACATACCCAGAGAAGGGATTTGGAGAGCTCAGTAACCTCGACCACCTGGTCTCTCATCTCCAAGCTCTCTTATCCCATAGATTCCTTTGATGTTGTCTTGCATGGAAGTTTCTAGTATGAAACTCCTCTGCAGGATTTGAGACTATGAAAGTTATTTGTGGGGAGAGAGGAAGCCGCCTGGCCACATGGCACTGCCTTCTCCCATCCCCCAACAACTACATTTGATCAGGACATGGCTTGTTGGCCCCTATGGTGCCATCATAGGGACACAGGCCTTTAAATATTTAACTTATTTATTTAACTAAGTAGAGGGGAATCAATTCCCAGCTCTGCCATCTCGGTGTCTCAGAGGTGAGATCCCCAGTGGGCCCCGGGAGGCAGCTGGTTTATCGGGCTGAGCATTGCCAGAATCATCTTCCCTTGGGTGATCAGTCTGGCCCTAAAACTGCCTAACCCAGGAGCTTGGAAGCTCTGCTTACCCAGCTGATATCCCAAATCATGTTACCCAAGACTGGGGGAGTTGGGGGTGAGTGGAAGGTGGGGCTCCGGGTCTCAGCAGCCCCCCTAGCCTCCCCTCCTCTCTTGGCCCAGCCCACCCCCCACCCCCACTCCCCTCTGCTCTCTCCAGGGCTGGACTGATGAAGGAGCTGCTCACCCCTCCACCCCCTTCCCCCACTGACTCCATAACCCTCTCCCTGGGGCTGTTCCAGGACCGGAAGCACAGAGTGTGGCTCCTCAAGCTTTTATCCGTCTCAGCCCCCAGGGCATATCCGTGCTTGGGGAATCTCGCACGGAAACTCAGGAGTACCCCCTGCCTGGGCTAAGGAGGTCTTATCTCTGGGGGGTTTAAGTGCCGTTTGCAATAATGTTATGTCTTATTTATTTAGTGGAGTAAATATTTTATACTGTTTGTGAGCAATCAGAGTATAATGTTTATGGTGATGAAATTAAAGGCTTCTTATATGTTTCATTGGCCTGTGTTTATCTTTCCTGAGGGGGAAGGATCAGATCTCTCTCAAATTATCCTCCGCTTCCTTCTCGATAGGGATCCTGTGTGGGCAGCTTCAGTTCCCAGTGTCACCAGCAGATGGAGCCATAGACCAGTACTCGTCCTATGTTTGGCGCTTGGGCTTGGATGTGTTACCCCCTGGATTGGAGAGTTGTTGGGAATTTGGGGGTGGGGGGCAGAGAAAACATGGAGTGCAGGAGAGTGGGGGCATTATCTTTCTCAAAGGGCTCATAATGTGGCCAAAAGTTGGAACAAGCGCCCTCTGTCAACTGCAGCAATAGGAAGGAGGAAGGAACCTGGCCCGTGCAGGCTTGGATTTCAACGTCACTGAGCCTTGGTTCCTGTCTCCTTCACCCTTCCTGCCAGGCTGAGGGCGGATTCAGAGTCTTCCCTGCCACGCCATCTCTCTCACCTTTCCAGACTTGGCTGGCCTTCCTGTTCCCAGTCCTCCTGGAACTGTGTAGGTAACACCTCCTCAGTGTAGTTAACACCGTGTGCAGGAGCATCTGTGTTTGGGGCACCGGGCTGGCTTAGTGGTTAGAGCACGTGGCTCCTGATCTTAGGGTTGGGAGTTTGAGCCTCACACTGGGTGCAGAGGTTACATTTTTTTTTTAAAGGGCTAGCTTTATTTATTTTTAAGATGTTCTATATTTTATCCTAAATAAATAAAATCTTAAAAAGGGGGGGGCACCGGGGCACCTGGGTGGCTCAGTGGGTTAAACCTCTTCCTTTAGCTCAGGTCATGATCTTAGGGTCCTGGGATTGAGCCCCACATCGGGCTTTCTGCTCAGCAGGGAGCCTGCCTCTCTGCCTACTTGTGATCTCTGTCAAATAAAATCTTTTAAAAGTGGGGGGGCACCTTGGTGGCTCGGTCAGTTGGTGTCTGAGTTCAGCTCAGTTCATGCTCTCAGGGTCCTGGGGCCCAGTGGGGAGTCTGCTTGTCCCTCGGTTCCTTACCCCTGCCCCGCCTCCAGCAGTGCTCTTGCTCTCAAGTACATAAATAAAATATTTAAAATATTCTATATTTAACTTTGTGTTCTGGAAAATCTCAAACATACATGAATAATGAGCCCGGTACAATGAACCCAATTTTAACAATTATTAGCATTCTGCCATTTTAATTTTATCTACTCTCCCTCCCCAACCCATTGAGGGGGAGGTAGTGTTAAAGCATACGGCAGACACAATTTCATTTCACTTGTAAATACTTCAGCGTGTGGTTTGTTTTGTTTTTTAAGATTGTATTTATTTATTTGACAGAGATCACAAGCAGGCAGAGAGGCAGGCAGAGAGAAAGAGAGAGGGAAGCAGGCTCCCTGCTGAGCAGAGAGCCCGATGCGGGGCTTGATCGCAGGACCCTGAGATCCTTTAACCCACTGAGCCACCCAGGTGCCCCTTCAGCATGTGTTTTAAGAAGTAGGGCTTTTTAGCAACTCACAATACTATGAACATAGCCAACAAACAGCAATTCCTTATTATCACTGATTACCCAGTCCATGTATAATTTTCCCCATTTGCTCAAAAAATGGCGTTTCCCCGTTGGTTTGTTCAAATTGAGATCCAAACTGGAAAACGTGTGTCTAGCAGCCGTATCTCTGGTTTCTTTTCAACTGTAACAATTTCCCTCTTTTTAATTTTTTCTTCATGCCATGCATTTGTGAAGAAAGCGTCATGTTTTCCGCCAGAATTGTCCACAGTTACCCTGTGGTTGGGTAACTGTATCCTTGGTGTTATTGAAAGATGTTCCTCTTTCTCTCCTTTTTTCCCCTCTGAGCTGGTGACAAGATCCAAAGGTTTGATTAGATGCGTGTTTGATTGTTGCATCAAAAGGACACAGACCTTTAAATATTTAACTCATTTAACAATATATCCTCTGTATAATTCTACATAATTTTGAAGCAGATTTCATTCCATTCACTCATACTTCATTCTAAAGTACATCAGAATGTTTTCAGGGCGCCTGGGTGGATCAGTCGTTAAGTGTCTGCCTTCAGCTCAGGTCATGATCCCGGGGTCCTGGGATCGAGCCCCACATCAGGCTCCCTGCTCAGTGGGAAGCCTGCTTCTCCCTCTCCCTCTCCTCTGCTGTGTTCCCTCTCTTGCTGTATCTCTCTCTGTCAAATAAATAAAATCTTTAAAAATTAAAAAAAAATATTTTTCTACAAGGTAAGGACTTTAAAACAAAAATATAATCCTATTACTATAATCAGACCAAAAATATAATTTCTTAGTGTAATCAAATATCTAGTGTTCACATTTCCCTGTCTCATGATTTTGTAGAGTTTTTGCTCAAATTGGAACCGAAATAAGTTCCAGATGTTCCAGTTGGCTGATGTGTCTCCTAGATCTCTTGTAATCCGCAGGTACCGCCAAGTTTTCATTTTTTTTCCTTGTCAATTGTTAGAGAAACCGGGTTGTTTTCCTACAGATCCTCTGGATTTTGTGGATTACATTCCCAGAGTGATATTTCACATGTTATTGCCCCTGTATTTTCTGTAAATTGGTAAAGTCAGAGACCAGATCAGATCTGATTTGTTTGTTTTTGTAAGAATACCTAATGGGGGGTGCCTGGGTGGCTCAGTGGGTTAAGCCTCTGCCTTCAGCCCAGGTTATGATCCCAGGGTCCTGGGATCGAGCCCCACATTGGGCTCTCTGCTCAGCACGGAGCCTACTCCCCGCCACCCCCCGCCCCGCCTGCCTCTCTGCCTACTTGTGATCTCTGTCAAGTAAATAAATAAAATCTTAAAAAAAAAAAAAAAAAAAGAATACCTGATAGCTGTGTGTACTTCCACAGAAGGGAGATCTGGCTGTCTTTCTTTTTTGATGTTCGTAGTCCCTGATTTCTTTACTTATGCCCGTTATTTCACAGACAGTGGAAAATCACATTTCTTCAAAAAGTGCTTGACTCCTCCCTTGTATTTACCAGTTTTCAAAATAACGAATCGATTCCCCAACTTCCCGGATGCTGCCGGGGAGGTCTGTTCCCTTCGTGTCCTTATGCGTTCGTGGGTTTAAAGCATGTTTGCCGGCCTTCAGTCCCCCACAGCTGTTGTGCACGGCCGTGTTGCTCTTACTGTTGGCCAGGCGGAGCCTCTCCAAGTCGATTTCCGAGTCCTTTCTCAACACCATCTTATTTGGTCCCCAAAAGCTTCTTTCGTTTTCGGGCCTGATTAGATGTCCAGGCTCATCTTGTATGTTTCCTGCTACAACTCAGAATGAGCTATTTCTTCTGAGGGTTTCTGATTGCTTTTTGTGGGGTAAGGTTTTTGGAGACCATAAGATCTGCCTCAGGAGTGCCCATTACTGGGTACATCATTGGTTTTAGGCCTTTCCAGTGGACAAAGCTGGGGAAAATTTTAAAACGTAAACACATTGCGAGTTTATACTGATACTTCCAATTCAAGTTCAAGACTGTATCACACACACGCACACGCCCGCATGATTTACTTCTCTAATTTCTCCCACACTGAAACAGGCCTGGCCCAGAGGCTTTTAGAGTCTGCCGGTGTGTGGGGGATGTAGGAAGAAACAGAAAGAACCGTCCGTCCATCCATGTCAGCTTGTCTGTGCTGGAGCGCAGAGCCTGGCCCACCGGCTGGGAGCCCTCCTTGGCTGCTACAAACCGTTCCAGAGTACACCGGAGGAGACTGCAACACTCCGGAGCAGGAGACCGGGGCTCGCGGGGCTTTTCTCGTGGAAGTATTCCATGTCTGGGACTGGCCACGCCAGCTCTCAGGCCCTGGGCCTTGTGTTGGGAGTTCCTCAGGTTTTCAACTACATTCCTTGCAGAAACACACTTGCTAGGAAGGCCGGGGAGGAGAGAAGCAGGGAGAAAGGGGACTCTGGAGTGGACGGAGGAGGACGCAGCAAGTAGCCTCAAAGACCTCCCCACCTCAAAGACCTCCCCACCGGAGTCACCCAGTCCTCTCCACCGGGGGTCTTAGACAACTGCAGTCTGGCTCTGCCCGTAAAGACCACTGGGGGACACCTGGGGGGCTACGTCCGTCAAGCATCCTGATCCCAGGGTTCTGGGACCCGAGTCCCCGAGTCATCGGGCTCCCTGCTCAGTGGGGAGTCTGCTTCTCCCTCTCCCTCCGCCTGCCACTCCCCCTGCTTGTGCTCTCTTGTGCGCTCTCTCTCTCTCTCTCTGTCAAATAAGTACATAATCTTAAAAAAAAAAAAAAAAGACCCTTGAATTTAGGTGAGAGGAACAAGCACTTGTGAGTCAGATGTACCACCATGTATGGGGCAGGATATGAGTGGAAAATACAGAGCATAAACCGGAGAGTTTAGAGGAGGGAAAAGTAAGATCTTTTCTGGGGTGGAGAGAGGAAGGGCTGGACTATTCCACAGCTGGCTTCCCCGCAGAAAGGGATGGAGCCGTGGGTGCTAGCTTGTGGTTTGACCTAGGAATTGGAGAAAGGGGGGCGGGGATGGGGTTAGGTGGGTGGTGCCCCGTCCCTTGTGCCTTCATGGGTCTTCTTTCGGGCCTGGGGTGCCTGTTGGTTGAAGAGCCAGTTCCAGTGGGATCGGGGAGCAGAAGGAGGAGAGTGGGGAACAGCCGGTGGGCAGCTGGGATCTCAGGTTACCGCTTGTGCCATTGGGGAAAAAACCCTTGGTTTCCAGGGTCAGATTTGATTACAGCAGCCTGGCCCTCTCGTCACCATACTGGCTGGAGGCCCGTTTGAGAAGGGGACTTTCTGACACCCAATACTGTCACTGGACCTCTGCATACAGTGGGAGGCATGCCCCGGAGACAGGGTCACCAGACCCCGTCTGCCCCTGACCCGGCATTTGACTTCTCCATCATGCTTTGCCCTGTGCCCCACCCCTCCCAGAAACTGTTGAGCACTGGACGGCCCCCAGGTAATGTTCTCACTTCCTTTCATCAAATAGTGTTTGTCCACCTTCCTGTGTGCTGGAGCCTATGTTAGCCCTGGGCTGTGCTGACGAAAGACATG